TGAGTGTGTATGTGTGTGTGCAGTGGTTGGCGTGCATGGTATCCAGGGTGATCCGGAGTCGAGTTGCGTGTGAACTCTGAGTCGAACGTGTAAGTGWGGGCGCCCAGCGCCATAGYCAACTGAAGTRAACTTGGATTTGAGTTGAGTTGCAAGCTACCATATCTCCGAGTTTGAGTTGGGTGCACAGCGCCAAGTTATTCTCATCTGTTGCATGCATGTTTGAGTGTGAATTTGCAAGACTGATTTCAGAGCCAAATGAATTGAAAATTTATAGGCATGTATGTCACGGCATAGAGAACTCACAAAAAAAACTCAGGAAAAAAAATAAAAATTTGGCCCCAAAATAATTTTTGGAGGGGGCCAAATGACGTCGGGTTCGGACCCCGTACGGGACCCCGAACGCCCGTACATACGGAGGTCTGCCCGGGTACCTCCGTACGTACGGGCTGGTGACCCTGTATATATATATTTTTTTTGTAATTTGATTTTTTATTTTAAATTTGGTGAAGAATTTCGATGTGACCCTGAGGCAAAAGTTGTTCAGTTTACTTTTCTGCATAACATTTCTTTTTTTTTTTTTGGGACCCTCCTTGGTCCTTGCACGGGCTGCTCACCCGGGCGGCCCGGCTGATAGCCTAGGTAGAATCGCAATAGAAACGAATTTTGGCTGAGGCCCCGGGGGGTCGTATCAGAATTCCTCACAGATTTGAACATAGAAAAGAACAGAATCAGATTTAGGCACCCCCCTTCAGGCCCCTTTAGCCCCCTTTAGCCCCTTGCAAACCAGTTTATATTCCCGTTCCCCTTCCCTTGACAGCCAACACTCGAGAAGAGAAAGGAGCCCGGACTTGAGCTCCTCTGAGCATGCGCAGAACCCCTTCCCCACAGAAAAAGAAAAAGAAGAAAGAAAGTTAAAAAAACTTTCAAAAAGAAAAGAGGCTGATTTTTGCCTGCACAGGGTGTCCTGTGCAGGTGACCCCCGGGCGAGTAGCCCAGCAAAAAGCAAAATCTGGATGGCAAAAAAAAAGAAACAAAAAATATGGGGAAAACGGTGTGGCTTCCGGCTTTTATCAGTAGGCCCTAGACCTGGCAAAAATAAAAGGGGGCTGCTGGTTTAAAAGTGTGCCAGGGCTCATACAGCCTTTGAAAAGACACCCGCTGTTAGTACGGGGCAGTGGAAAGGCTCGAAGTCCCCGTTTGTAAAGGGTGGCAGCACCAGGCAATGGGCAATGTGCGTGCAGCAACAGTTCGGATATCTTATGGGCAGACAAAGATCCACATTGGGAAAAAGATGGTAGGAATTGCCGGAGGCGTAGACCACCAGTATTTCCAAAAGTTGTGGCGCGCTGCAACGTGCTTGTGATGAACGGGTGTGGGCCTCAGGAATAAATTCATTCAAGTGGAAATGTCGTGGCACTGTAGCAATGGCTGGGTGCATGCAGGCAGCAACTTCGTGGTTTAAGCCACTGGTACAGCCAAGCCTAGTTTTGCCGAGGTGGATACCCCCTGCGTGCCAAGCTTTGCCGAAATGCCAGTGCGGCGTCTTAATTTTTTTTTTTTTTTTTTTTTTTTTTTTTCTGCGCTTTTGGCTGGCATTGCCAGCCATTGTGGTCCCGTAGCACTGCTCACTCAATTCGCCGGTTTGCCTGGGCTGTGTACTGCACACCGCCAAGGCAAAATTGAGTCACTCTGAAAAGTTTGGATGAACAGTGCTACCGGACCAAAATGGCTGGCAGTCAGCCAAAAAAAAAAGAAAACGCCATGCTGGCAGCTCGGCAAAGCGTGGCACACAGGGGGAACTCGCCTCGGCAAAAAGAGGCACGGAGGTACTGCTGGTCTAAGGTCAATTCCAAGACTGAGCTGCTCAGGGAGGTCATTGCATACAATCATACCCAAGTGAGTACCGGTTCTGTGCGCACGTAGGGTTTTGAATGGCTGTTGCATTAGACACTATCGAAATGGCGGCTTTAGAAACCGGTGCTATGTTAGGTCCCCGTCAGCGCAGGAGGGCCATGCGAATGGCATTTTGAAAAGGTTGTAGGGGTGTTGGTGATATTACGGAGGGAGGAGAGCTGACAGGAGGCCGCACGCACCGGGTTCAGACAACCTGACGGCCAGGCCGACCCACCCACACATAGAGATCACTCGAGACGGAGCACACAACCACGACCACACAGACCTGGGAGTTTCGCCCTAGGGCTGGTGCTACCCGAAGCGCTGCACCGGGGTGCCCCCCCCTGAACTCAGGGTCCTGTATCCCTGAGGCACCCAGCCGGGAGGCCTTGCGGCACCACAGTCACCAAGTGCTGAGGGGATAAGCGTCACTTCCTGCTAGGAAGGTGGCGAACCTCACACGACTCCTGGGACGCGTCCCCACTGAGCCCGCCCCTCCAGGAGTCGTCTCCCCCCATGACCTCCATACAACACAATGGGAGCTGCACGCTGCCGTTCCGGGGCCCAAGGAACTGCACAGTCGGGTGTCAGCATCTGATGGGCACCTGGTGGGTGCATCCCCAGTTCAGACCTGGTACTTCTAGTAGGGCCTGACTGCATGTGCGCTCAGTGCGTGAATGGCTGTTGGATTGGCCAGCACCCGCCAGCGCCGTATGCACGAGGCTACGGAGTTTTGAACCGGCGACCTCAGAACACAATGTGCGTTTGCAACCCGTGCTCTACCCACTGAGCTATCAACGAATGGCATTTCAACGGAAGAGTGTTTCAGAAGTTCGTTGACAAACAAAACATGCATCAGCAGTTGATGGTTTCTCCTGGCAGAATGACAGAAACTAGGTTTTTGTGGAAGTAGTCTGGCCCAGAGGTAATGTCTCAGCCGCATGTAGTGGGAATGGTCTCTACCCCTGGACGTTGTCGATAAATTCTGTACGAAGTCCTAGACATAGGAAAGGGTGTAATTTGCAGTGCTTGCAAAGCTGTCTGTTTCTCACTTGTGAACTTGCTGAGCGATTCCTTGTTGCCAGACGAAGAATAAAGATGGGCAGTTATGGCGCTGATACAAATAGGTTCTGGGCAAACACCTTTCGCATATGGTTTGCCCCCATCCTGGATGTATCATGAGTCGGTCAGTCGTGTCCGTATGCAGACTGGAGAGTCCTAATCTAAGCAGGTCCGGCCATGTCCCCGAAACTGGACTATGAGCATATGTTTTGTTTTGGGCGTTCACAAGAGTAGCATCTGTTATTTAGATAGGGGAGGATTTTGCCTATAACTCCCTAGAGGAACAGGCCCACGGACGGAATTTGGATAGGGTGTTTGCCTCCCAAGTGCAAAAGGCACTCAGTCAGGAGGTGTGTGTGTGTGTGTGTGTGTGTGTGTGAGAGAGAGAGAGAGAGAGAGAGAGAGAGAGAGAGAGAGAGAGAGAGATGCTGGTCGGTATGCTAACTTTTGATTCCATGAGCTGTCAGTTTGGGTTTTCACAGTCCTTTATGTGTGAGAAATGAGTTTCTTCTCACCTGCATACCAAGATTGGCTGATGTGGTATTTTTGGTTGACTTGTCACTTTGTGATTTGTCCGCAGAGTGCTCGTGAGAGTGCACTTGCCTCATATGCGGCAATGCCAGCTGGAGTTCTTCTCTGCACGGATGTTGCTGCTCGTGGGCTAGATATTCCTGGAGTCGACTGGATCGTTCAGGTTTGTTGTTTCTAACCTCTTGTAGTGTGTCAAGTCCCCTTTGTTCCTCATTGAAAAGGTCTAGCTTCACCTCTGGCCAGGTTCCCAAAACACTGTTGCAGTTCATGTTATTGGGACGAGGAAAATGGCTGCTACGGACGAAACCATCATGAAACACCTGGTGGCCATCTCAAGCCAATTGTTGCTCAGGTGTACCTCTCCAGAAATAGTGTAGATGTAGAATTGTTGTACATATATGTACCTCGAGGCCAGTGGTTGGTGCCCGCCTCAGGGTATCAGCTGTCAGGCAGTCGTTGATGCTTAACCACAACCGGGGTTAAGGTGGACTGTCACTTACAGTGCAATCAGTTAGGGGATTCTGCAGACTGTTGAGGGTTCAGCCTCCTGATGAGTCTGTTGGTGAAACTCCGACGAAACAGTTTGTCACATCCCCTCGTTTGTTGTCCCTGTTCTTCTCTGCCTACGGTTTACCGGGCAGCTCTGTTTGACAATATGTATGCATGCATGCACATTTATGTATTTCATATTTATCAAGAGATTTGGACATATCTATACATATGCTTCCTTCTTTTCCCTTAACTGGTGCCTCGTCTTATCCCTCTTTACTCATTTGCTGCTGATAAACCTGCAATTCCTCTGTTACTCGTACCCCTGTGGTCTCAGCTGCTGGCAAGTCATCCATTGTTTGCGCTGCTGCTCACGAGGCAGAAGGATTCACGATTCTGTAGGACCATGTGCGATGGACTCTATGCTTTCGAGGTCAGTGTAAAGCCTCGCGCATCGAGTTTTATTTGCAATAATGTATCCCTCTGGTTTCCTTCGCCGGTCCGGCCATCTCTGGTCTCACTAGCTGTGCAAACAACTACTACATTTTCTGCAACCGCATCACCTTCTTCGCCCCCGTCGCAGATGCCGCTCTCCTCCTTGCCTTCCTTATCTACTTGATGGTCTTGTTTATGAACAGAGTCGCCAGTGTGCATTGTCCTTGCATTGTCCCACTGCGATCACCACAGCCGTGCTCATCTCCAGTTCGTCACGCCTCTTGTTGTGTAGCCTGTTTCATAATCTGGCTGATTCTCTCTGTACCTGCTCCACACGCTGTCGTGATCCCGTCCCTCCCCACAGTAAAGTTGATTCCTTTGCCTCTCAGTCCTCGTGCTAAGTCAGGAGTCCATGATTTATCCTCTGATGGATGGGAGGCTCATATGTGACCTAATGCACATCACGCAGCCCCAGATGTTCCGGGAATCGGAACATGATTTGGCTGACTTGCAAATGACCGCACTTACAGCCCCAATCGTTTCGAACTCGGGACATCCGGCGGGTTATCGGCAAATCACCACATCAAACACAGCTCCGGAATTTCCAGGCTCTGAACGTCACTTGCATGACTTGCAGATTGATGGCGAGTATCGGGCAATAGGCTGTGGTGATGGCAGTGGGACAGTGCGAACTACAGACTCTGTTCATAAATGATACCATGGAGTAGGTAAGGGAGGCGAGGAGCACAGCATCTGCAATGAGGATGAAGATGAGGATGCATTTGCAGAGACTGTAGTTGTTTGCACAGGTAGTAAGAGCGGATGTCACTGGAGCGGCAGAGGAAACCATAGGGACATTTCATCCATAGGGACATCTCAACCACATGTGACTGGGATCCCAATTGGTCCGAATCTCCCTAATCTCTGTGGTCTCTGGGATGCGAATGGAGGGGCATCTCAACCATAGGTGAATGGCATGGAGCTCGCCTCATCCTCAGCTCAGTGCAAGAGGGAGCGCGAATTGGAAGGAAGGAGGGTTGTGGAGTTAAGACAGGTGATGCCGCCAAGGGAAACTGCTGTGTAGAAGACAGTCCTTTTCTTCTACACAAGCTTCCATCCAGCTTGTGAAACTTGAACCACCTTTTCCCAACAGGCCTTGGGGCGTGGGCTGGTTTCCGCAGACCGAAGCAAGAACCATGTCTGCGGGATTGGATGTCCACTGTGGGTCCATGGATAAAGCAGAGGACTTCTCTCTGGTAACCATGACCGTTTGAAAAAGAGAGTGGTGGTTTAAGCTGTTTTTCTGTCTTTCATGCTCTTGGTTTATTGTAAGTTTATATCTGTTGTATGATGTCTGCTGCGTGGCGCTTACCCTGCTCCCTAGGATATGGTCGGGCAATCAAGGTGGTGTTTGTTTCTTATTGTGTGTATGTGGCAACAGTATGACCCTCCGCAAGACCCCAATGCATTCGTCCACCGAGTCGGACGCACAGCGAGGATGGGCCGATCAGGAAGCGCAGTTGTCTACCTACTTCCGAAGGTGAGCGGGCAATGGAACTGCAGCAGATATTGAGAACATTCTTTTTGTGACTCGACCGTGAGAAACGTGTCAGATGTGACAGTGATGTCGTTAGCTACTAAAATGCAGAGAGTACTCCGGGGCAGGGTTGCAGACCCGCCGACCGTATTGCAGCCAACCAGTAGGGCCGGCCGGTCGGCGGTCTGCCGACCAGTCAGAAACAACCATCCACTGATTTCTTTTCAAATCTGAATTGGGGGCTGTACTGCGCTTGCTGAGTACAGCCCAAATCCGCTGACAAACTTTTTTTTTGGGGGGGGGAAGGGTGGGGGCTGTCTCTTATACACATCTAGATGTGTATAAGAGACAGGTATGGGGGTATTGGGGGGTATTGGGGGGCGCAATGGGGGTGTTGGTGGTGGTATTAGGGGTTCTGGTCCTTCTGGACCCTTTTTCTTTTTTCTTTTTTTCCGGGGTGCCGACGACCCCCGACCGGTAGGTGCCGACCAGCCGATCGGTCGGCGGGCCGGCAGCTGACCAGTCAAACGCCGCCGACCGTCGGGGGTTGCAACCCTGCTCCTGAGTCCATTGACTCCATACGAATAACTGTTGAAAGTTTGTCGGTTACAGACGTAGCTCATCACCATCTTGTTATTGTTATTTGACTTATTTTTGCAGGCCATATGTATCGTGTGTGCTAGGGACTTGGGATCCATCATAATATAAAAGAAAAATTATAGGGAGCACGTACACCTCTGCAGGAAGACTAGGATATGGTCTTATGAATGGTTTTTGTTTGACGCCCTCAATAATTCTCTTTGTTAAGTTGGTGTCCAATTTCAATAAGTAAACAGAAGTCGAATTCTGTCTATTTGTGTGAGTATACTTGTCCGTCTTTTTGAGCTGGAAAGAAGAGCGACTTGCGAGCGGGCTTCTCTCCAATATGTTTGTGGAGAATAATCATGAGAAGGAACTTCATTAAGGCTCAAGGCTGTAAAAATCAGGACCTAACCTAACTCACAGTGAATCATCTCGAATTTAAGCGGGCGTGGCACCTCAGCCCTCAAAATGGAGAGTACATTCTCCATACACGGATAGATAAAAGGTTCAGTTCAAGAATATATTATCGTGCCCGACAGCCCGTTGTATATCTGTGATGATTTTGACGAGTTTATCACCTTTTGCTGGCATCGAAGAACAGACAGATTGTGCAGTGCAGTCTTAAAACTTCTGCAGAGATGGATATTGCTGTGTAAAGATGTGATGTACTGTCAGGTTCCCATTCTTCACGTCTGACTAGAGTGGCAATGAACACTGGGCAAGGAGAGGTGTCTGCAGTTTGGCAAGAACGAGAATAACACGAAGTATCAAGAACGTATGGAAATGCTTGTGTGTGTGTGGCAGCATTCAGAACGGCAGACAGCACAGTGTACCTCTCTTGAATGATATGCAGAAATCGTTTTGTTTCAGAATTATCCTGGTGAGGATCGATCAGACAGGTGCCTATGAATGGCTGGAGAGCTTTTCAGACTGGGATTGCCAAAGCTTGCCAAAAAGACATCCATCCTCATTGTATGTGAAGTTAGTTTTAGGGGAGCGAAGATGAGAGAAGGGCGGCGTGGAGGGAGGGAGGGAGGGGGGGAGAGAGAGAGAGAGAGAGAGAGAGAGAGAGAGAGAGAGAGAGAGAGAGAGAGAGAGAGAGAGAGAGAGAGAGAGAGAG